GCGAACGACGATAAAGAAGAAGACAATAAAAGCATCGCGTCGTTGAAATATCGTCGAAAAATTGCTTTTCCGAAAAATCTTACGGCTAAGGAGACGCTATTGCTATCTATAAAAGAAGAATCGTGTAAAACTTATCTTGTTTTGATGATTTTAATTTTTCACTTTTTCTTTTTTCTTTTTTAAATAAATCGATCGATCGATCGATCAATCTATTTATTTCGAGATCGGTCTTCAAAACGAAATCAAAACGTACGATATCAGTACGTACGAAAAGATTGTCTTATCACTGATCATCTATGGTCATTATCATTTAACACTTTTTCTTTCATACATATATATATATATATATTTTTTTTTTCAAAACGTACACTATCAGCCTTTTGACTATGTTGCATTATATTTTCTATTTTTTTCTCCTACTATGCCCTGCCAGCCCCCTCCTCCTCCTCCTCCTCCTCCTCCTCCTCCTCCTCCTCCTTCCTTTCTTTTCCTTTCTTCTTTTTTTTATTTTTTTTTTCTTTTCTTTTTTTGTTCAAATCGATCGATTTTACGTACGAACAAAAGCGTGGTATTGATAGGTCGTATCGTTTACATTGTTCAATCGTATGTATATATTTTTTTTTTTTAGTTATCTTTTTTTCTTTTTTCCTTCAAATCGATTCCACGGGATTGAGAGATTAAAAATTAATTGAAAAGAAAAAAAGGAAAAATGAAAACAAAAAAAAAGAAATAAAAATAAAGTATTAATTAAGTTAAAAGGAAGATAATCGTAGAGAAGGAGAGAGATAGACGGATAGATAAATAGAAAGTACGAGATATCTTGGCGATTGTTTTTGCAGGAAGGAAAGCCTTTTAAGAGGAAGAAATTAGAATCGAGTTTGGAACCGATGGTTAGAGTGTAAGTAAGTAAGTAAGTACATTGATAGGATATAACCAAGAGAAAAGAGACCTTTTATTGGTTCCCAAGGGAGGGCACACTCGTAAAAGATCATTGTTTCGTAGCATAATTTTATTCCTATCTCTCTCTCTCTCTCTCTCTCTCTGTCTCTTTGTCTCTCACACACTCTCTCTCTTCTTCTCTTTCTTCCTTTGAACAAACGTAATAATAATAATAATAATAATAATACTAACAATCAAACGCAATTGAACTATATTGGTGAAACATCGAATTAAACGATTTTCTATTTACTCCTTGGATTTTTATCCTTGAAAAATTTTACAACGTAAACTTTGCATTCTTAGAATAAATGTTACAAGGAACTCTTTATTTTATTCCTATATGTAACTAATATCTACGCATTCGTAAAATACTTGTTTAAAGCGACGACGTTGCAAGCTTGTAAGAAGAAAATGAAAATTAAAAAAAGAAAAAATGGTAATAATAATAATAATAATAATAATAATAATAATAATAATAATAATACTAATAATAATAATAGAAAGAAACAGAAGAAGAAGATGACGACGACGAAGAAGAAGAAGAAGAAGAAAAAGATGATGATGAGGAAGAAAAGGAAGAAAAAGAAGAAGAAGGAGTCAGATACTTTTCGAGTAATCGTTGATGATGCCGATGAACCTACCCTCGATTCCAGGTAAAGTTAACTGATGAGACCGAATGCAAAGTGCATCGTTGCATAACGTGAAATGGCTATGCTATAGCTATCGCGTGTATCATCTTTTCTAAAGAACATATAGATAGATGGACAGAAAGAGAGAGAGAGAGAGAGAGAGAGAGAAAGAGAGAGAGAGAGAGATTAAAAAAAGAAAGAAAAATAAGAAAAAAATTTACATTCGTTCTCTTTCTATCTTTCTCTCTTTCTCTCTTTCTCTCTCTCTCTCTCTCTCTCTCTCTCTCTCTCGTTTATACCTTAACGATTATCAGTTATAACGGTCGATTGTGAAAGTAAATGGCACACACGCACACACACAAAAGCAATATTCTGTTTACAATGCCAATCATCATTGTTCGGTTATATCTTTTCAATTAGTATATCCATGGTGTATCACTATGCAAACGAGGATCGCGTTCAAGATTTTACGACTTTACGACTATCGGACAGTTAAATAGAAAGGAGAAGATGACGGGGTTATGGACGAAGGCAGAGAGTAGGGACAGGGACAAGGACAGTTACAATGATGGGGAGGGGGTGGTTAGGGATGAGGACAAGGACAGGGACTGGAGGTTTGCCTCGGTTCTCGGCGAAAGCCCAAATAGCTCGAATAAGTAGAGGATATAAAGGGAAGGATAATCGTCGATTTCATCGTTTATTGTTGACTGTCTCTGTGTGTGCAAAATTCGAATGAGATAGAGACAGAGAAATAGGAAGAGAGAAAGAGAGAAAGAGTGAATGAGAGAGAGACAGAGAGACAGAGAGAGAGAGAGAGAGAGAGAGAGAGAGCTTTCCTAGCTGTTTCTTTGAACCCATTAAAATAAGATAAGCTTTGCATTCTCTTAAACGTTCTTTCTCAACTGTTAAAGAGAAGCTCTTTCTCTTTCTCTCTCTCTCTCTCTTTCTTTCTCTCTCTCTCTCTCTCTCTCTCTCTCTCTCTCTCTTTCTCTTTCTCTCTTTCGTTTCTAATTACCGTTAGAAACCTGTTGTATACGTGACTTTGCCACGAGCTCCACCTTCGGCCATTTGCAAGAAGCTACGCGACGATATTTGCTCCTCTAAAATTGGACTGTGAGATAACTACTCGAAGATTTTCCAACACCCTAAAGGGTATCCTGTTTACAGCTTCGTGCGTATCGTACAGCTATTCTCTATCTTTCTCATTCTCATTCTCTCGACAAATAATATATTACTATAATATTGTCGTACATACATTCAATAAACGTAATTCGTTATTGTTCGTACTTTTAAAAGGTATTCTTTTCTTTTCCTTCTCTTATATTGATCTTCAATCGATTAATATAATAATATATATATATCTTCTTTATAAATAAAATGATTATTAATGTAAATTAATCTTCGAATCATACAGTCCATGCAAACTCAAATATAATATAACAATATCAAACATTGTTATTATAATTATAATAATAATAATAATAATAATAATAATAATAATAATAATAATAATAATAATAATAATAATAATAATATTAATATTAATATTAATAGATAATTTTCATTTTATATGCGATTTTTAGAGTTTTACATCGTCGTAAAATTAAGTAGAAATTCCGGGAAAATATTAATACCTTCGAAGGACGAAATTAAAAAAAGAATTTTCGAGTTGGGCGTAATTTAAAAGAAGTGGGAGGGGAGGGGGAAGTGGAAAGAAAAGATTTTTTCTTTTCTTTCTTTTTTTTTTTTTTTTTTTTTTTTTTAACAAGTTTCACGATCGCATTGGATTATTCGCTTTAATAGTTCGGAAAATCGTAAGAAAAACTTACGAGGATTTTTTTCGAGGACTATACGAGAAGGAAGCGCATTTTCACGCGCAGAGAAAATGCAGCACGGGGTTTGTTCGTTCGTGGTGTTTGTCGAGTACAATGGATCGAGCGTACAAAAGGAACCTGCCGCTGCCGTCGCCGCCTCCACCGACGCCGCCGCCGCCCCCGCCCCCGCCATCACCGCCGTCGTACCGTCGTCGCCTCGTCGTCGCATCATCGTCGCCCCGTCGCTAGAGTAACGCGTTTGAAAACGTTAATTACGAGCACTTTTGTACCTTTTCCATAAAAGCCTCTCACTCGTTACCTTCGATCCAACGTGATTCAAGCGAGACGCGTGTCAACCCCCATTTTTGTTTTTATTCGGCTCTTAGTTCATTTCCACGATTCATCCTACGGAAATCTCGTAAATGTGAAATAAAAAGGGAAAGGGAGAAAGAGAGACAGAGACAGAGAGAGAGAGAGAGAGAGAGAGAGAGAGGGAGAAAATGGCTAAACAAAAGAACACGAAAGTTCCCTTTTATAGTGTTAACAAAAAGAGTATTTCGCTCTATTGACATTTGCGTGTGAATATTTTACTTGACTAAAGAAAAAAAAAAAAATAAAAAATAAAAAAAAAAGAAAAACATTTTCTCTCCCTTTCTCTCTCTCTCTCTCTCTCTTTCTATCTCGAAAAATATTTTATATTAATACTTCAAACCTTGACTAATAGCGATATATTATAATATTTTCGTAATTGACGATATTTTTATATACGACACATACGTACATATAATATACTTATATAATTGACGATGATAATTAAACAATTAATTCATAAGTGTAATTTTATCAATGGTATCGTATATTTTTTTTTCCTGCTTCTTTTTTTTCTGGTTTTCTTTTTTTTCTTTTTTTTTTCTTTTTTTTTTTTTTCTTTCAAATGACGTTACGATGAGATAAATAATATAAAATTCGTCATTCGTTTAATGAAAATATTTCGAACGTTTATCGAACCGTAAAAACAAAACTTGAAGAACCTTGATTCGTGGAAATTACGTTGAACGAGTAAAAGCTGCTTCGGTCGTTTCTCTTTCCGGTCAATTTATCTGTCAGTTAATTTAAATACAGTCGAGCGATGACAAAGTGCCCGCGTAACGGGTGAAACGCGTCGATGTACTACACGCAAATACATAAACACAAATAGAAACAGGAACAGTAACAGAAACACATATACAGAGAAAAAGAGAGAGAGAGAGAGAGAGAGAGAGAGAGAGAGAAAGAGCACATACACACACACACACGTACACACACATGCCGAGAATTAAAATTTACTTTTATCGAGCAAATAAATTCATCACGATATAAAACGATCCTCCCCGTTTGTTGTTTTGTTCGGACAAACTCCCCTACCCACTCTTACATCCCACTCCCCCTTTTACATTTACAAAACGTAAAATTTGAAACGTTTTTGTTTTCAATGGATACGACGATATTCAATTATATGACGTATAATCGAAAACAGATTAATTTGTATCTATCGTTTCTCAAGGAGGAATGAAAATTTTCATTAAAAAAAAAAATATATATATATATATATATATATATATTTCAATTTCATCAATAAAATGAAACAATGTTATCGTATAGATTACTACAATATCTCGAAGTTTATCTCTCTTTCTTTCACCGATATTTACGTATTACTATGAACGATGTAATAATTAAGAAATGTACGTATATTACAACAAACTATTACGTAGATTCATTCATAAATATGAAAGTATTCTCTATGTACACATACGTATGTCCTTATTTATTTATTTACTTACTTAGTTATACATATGAAAGAACAAATATTCTTATATAGAAATAAAAATTTGTACTTTCGTCCTTGAAATACATGAAACGAATAAAATAAATCTTCTTATTTTGTTTTTGAAGAATATAGAGAAAGAACGATGTGAGTGTTAAAAGGTCGAAAACCTTTTTCACGTATCGTTTTTATAGCGATACGAAGATGAGGAAAGAAAAAAGATAAGAGAGAGAGAGAGAAAGAGAGAGAGAGAGAGAGAGAGAGAGAGAGAAAGAGAAATAACGAAAGTAAGGATAGGAGAAAAGGTAAAGAAAGGTCCAGGGTGGGAAAATAGACGACGGAACCGAGGGTGTCGTTTACTTAACGACGGAGAGAACATAAACGTCGCTTCGTGATCTTAAGCTGACGCACTTGTCGTCCCAAAGTGGGTCACTTACCACGTAGAAACCAACGACGACCTGCCGCGAGCGTCGATCCCTTGGATCCATTAAAGAACACGGTTAGCCCCTTTTACACGTGAAGTAAACGATACGAGGAAAAGGAAAGGGCTAACGTATAGAAAGACGCTGAGACTCACGGAATCGTAAAGGGGGATTTTATACGATCGTACGAAACGACGTTGAGAGTATGAATATCGTTTCAATATAGTTTGACGACACGTATATCAGAATTCTCGTTTTTCCTTTTATTCACATTTGTTCTAGTTTCTAAAATGACCGTGAGCTAACCGATAAATAAATTTATTTACAAAGTGTATTTCGTTAAATTGATCTTTACGATCCGTAAAGATCATTAATCCGTAATTAATATCGATTAAATCGATCAATACGAATTTGAACGAAAATTGCTTTATCGTTTCAAAAAGAAAAAGAAAAAAAAAATATATATATATATATATATATATATATATATATATATACATGTACAATATAAAAAGTAGAATCGACAAAATCTAAGAGTAATCATTGAGGCAAAGTATTCGTCGAGAATTCTATCTCTAACTAAAAGAAAATAGAAATGATGAAAGAACATTTTTTAGCTTGTCCTTTTAATAAATATATATGCATATATATATATACATATATACGAATATATTTATTTAATAAACATATGTGATGAAACACGCAGAAGGAATTTTTGAAAGAAGCGTTGACTAATTCGATAAAAAATACGCCGTAATGGATGTTTAGAAATAAAAGAGAAATAAATCATTGATAAAGAATAATTTAAAATGTATTACATTATATATAAAGGAACAAATTTTGTAAATGGCGCGCGCACGCGGTCCGATTCCGCGTCGGTCGGTTAACGGAGAAGGCTAAAACGCAAGCTCCCTGAAATTCAACAAGTGCTTCTCTCGAACTCCGACTCGACTCGACTCGACTCGACGACGGACGGACGGACGGACGGACGGACGGACGGACAGACGAACGAACGAACGAACGAACGAACGAATGAACGAACGAACGGACGAACGGACGAATGGTCGGTTGGTTGGTTGGTTGATAGGTCGGTCGGTTGGTTGGTTGGTTGGTTGGTTGGTCGGTTGGTTGATCGGTCGGTCGTTCGGTCGGTCGGTCGGTCGGTCGATCGGTCGGTCGAACACGGTTCGGAGCGCGCGCGTGCTGAAGCAAAGGAAGGAAGGAAGAAAGGAGTAGGATGATGGAGGAAGGAGTGGGGGGTGGAGGAGAAGAAGGAGAAGGAGTAGGAGAAGGAGTAGGAGAAGAAGGAGAAGCGAGCGCATCCAAGCTCCATTACGTGCGTGACGCGACTGAACGGGGTGAGTGCGGGGAGTGGGGAGAGTTCGGTGTTACTCATTTAAATAGTGGGGGAAGGTTCGGCCGTACTCGGCCTTTCTCGGCTTCTGGTTTCTCCCGCGGCCGCATAAGCGGTGTCAGCGTGTGCGCAGACCGGCTGCGCAGCAGGCGTGTGCGTTGTCTAGATTCTTTGTGCCATTCCTGGCATACCAAAAACAAGAGTGGTGACTGCGCTCGTATTTACCGGGGTGCAGCCCTGCGCGCTGATATAACCGTGCGAATTTAATCCGTCCGGATAAAGGGCTACGTCGCGCGCGCGCGCTCGACGCCACGTCAGCTCGGCCAGTGGTAAGTAAGACGAAAGAAAAGAGTGTCGAACGTGTCCGTGTCGCGCGAGTTACACCGCGTCTTACTCGCTGTCTCTCTCTCTCTCTCTTTCTCTCTCTCTATCTCTCGGTCGGTCTCGCTCTTGTTCGTTCTCTCTCACTCGCTCCAGTCCACGCCCGTTGGCTCTCTCCCGGCGGTGGCGTCCCGTACGGCAGCGGCCGCTATGT